TTGTTTTGATTCCCATCTCGCACAGCTTTTCAAAACCCAAGTGTATCATGGGTCATTTCACAGGCACCTAATCCACTGTCCATGTGCACGCTCAATGTCGTCGTCAGCCGTGGACATGGATGGATGTTTTAATATCACCAGAATGCGCATCATTTCTTTACTCATCTCTTGTGCGTGCGTGCGTGCGTGTGTGTAAAAGGAGCTCTGGTAGCGTGGTGGTTATGAGTTGGGCTGCCAGTCTCAAGGTCAGCAGTTCAAAACTCAGGAGAAAGATAAGGCTTTCTGCTCCCATAAAGCCTTGGAAACCCTGTACAGAGTCACTATGTGTCTGACCCGACCCAACTCCACGGCACACTACCGCCACCACCATACATATATAAATATAAACAAGAGACGTTTCTATCAAAGAAATAGCTCACACCATTGTAGAGGTGGGAGAGTCCCAAGTCTGGGGCAGGTGAACCAAGATCGGCAGGTTAGATAGGAGGCAGGCAGGTCTGGCAGGTCAGAAGGCAGGCAGGCAGGCAGGTCTGGCAGGTCAGAAGGCAGGCAGGCAGGTCTGGCAGGTCTGGCAGGTCAGAAGGCAAGCTGCTGATGGCTCCTAGGATCAGCAGGTAACAGAGCAGGCCACTGGCTCAAGTCCAAAGAACTGGAGGTCAGAGGAGAAGCCAGGTGCAAGGTCCAGATCCATCCGAGAGCGCACGAGTTTTGCCTGAGTGCCTAACATATTGAAGGCAGGCCACACCCCCGAGGAACCATCCTTTCAGTTGATTGATTGCTCACAGCAGAATTCTTCATGGAATTACCTAATACATGGAATTTTATGTATTAGGTCTCACTACAGGGATTACTACATCTCAACTGGCAAGCCACTGAGAATGCTGGTCCAGTTAAGTTGACACAGAACCTGAATTATCCCAGGAGGCATGCAGCCTGAGGGAAAGCCTACTGTAACGGTGCTGTGACCAAGCTAGGGTTTTCATATTTCTTTCACATAAAAGTCCAACTTTGCAATCCAGGCAGGGCACATTTAAATTCAGGGACCCAGGTTCCTTTTAGTTTGTTCTCAGTTGTGGCTGCCTCCATTCCCAGATCCATCACATGGTCCAAGATGGCTGTGGCAGCTCCAGCCATTGCATCTTCATCCAGGCCAACAGGAGGGAGAAAGAGAGAGAGGAGGGCAGTTGTCCCCACCACTCCTGCTTACACTTCATTGGCCATGACTAAGTCACATGGTCACTTCTGATGCACAACAGCCTAGGAAGTTCAGCCCTGTCTGGGCAGTTCAGTGACCCACTATCATGAACTGAACTGTATTCCCCCAAAATGTGTATTGTAAATCCTAGCTCCCATACCTGTAGTTAGACATCATGATAAATGGAGAAAAGATTGAAGTTGTAGAGAACTTCATTTTATTTGGATCCATAATCAATGTCCAAGTAAGTGGTGGTGGTGGTTATGTGCCGTGGAGTCAGAACCAACTCATAGCGACCCCTGTACAGGGTTTCCGAGACTGTAAATCTTTACGGGAGCAGAAAGCCTCATCTTTCTCCCGCAGAACAGCTGGTAGTTTCAAACTGCTGACCTTGCGGATTCGTAACCACCACGCTACCAGAGCTCCTTGCCCAAGTAAGTAGCAGTCAAGAAATCAAATGATGGACTGCACTGGGCAAATCTGCTGCAAAACATCTCTTTAAAGCGTTAAAGAACAAAGATGCCACTTTGAGGAGTAAGGTGCCTGACCCAGATCATGGTATTTTCAATTGACACTTAACAACAACAACATACGCACATGAAAGGTGGACAATGAATGAGGAAGACCTGAAAAGCATCAGTGCATTTGAATTTTGGTGTTGGTGAAGAATCCTGTTCAGTATTTGCCAGAAGAACAGCCAAATCTGTCTTGGAAGAAGTACAGTCAGCATGCTTTAGAAGTGAGGATGATGGGACTTTAGATATGTGATCAGGAGGGGCCAGTCCCTGGAGAAGGACAGCATGCTTAGTAGAGGGTCAGCTAAAGGAGGAAGTCATCAATGAGGTGATGGTCTCATTGGTTCAGCAGCAGCACCAAAGGGTTCAAATGTAAGAAAGACTGTGAGGCTAGTGTAGGACCAGGCAGTGTTTCATTCTGTTTCACACAGCGTCACTATGACTTGGCACCAACTCCACAGCACTTAACAGCAAGTCCTGGCAAAAGGAGCCCGGGTCATGCAGTACTTAAGCCGCTGCTCCTCCAGAGAAAGAGGTGGCAGTCTGCTTCTGTAAAGCATTGTCATTGTTAGGTGCCATTGAGTTGGTTCCAACCCACAGCGACCCTGTATAGGGTTTCCGAGGAGCAGCTGGTGAGCTTGAACCACCAACCTTGAGGTTCAAACCGACTTAACAGTCCAACCCACAGCACCACACTGGGCAGTTTTGCCCTGGAGTTGAAAGACAACGCCTATACCTTTGATTATGATACCATTTGTGAAATGGTTTTCTTTGTCACGTTAGTGAAGACGTATAGGTGTAGGGTGTGTTTTAAATCAATTTCTCTTGAGATACAAAATGCGTGGACTGAGTAGGGAGAGCCAGCAAGCAGAAATGGGGAAGACAGATACCACGTAACATGCAGATTATTGAAAAAACTGAAGCTCAGAAGAGACCAGGGTCTTCCTCCGGAGTCCACAGAGAGACAACCTTCTGCTGGAGCCGGTGCCCTGCATTTGGACTTCCGGCCTCCTGAACTGGGAGGGACTAGACGTCTGTTGGTGAAAGACCCCTCCTTTGTGCTGTTCTTGTTACAGCAGCGTAGGAGAACTAAAGCCGTTATGGACCATCAAGGGTGTCATACATGAGGGAGACAGGGACAACCAGCAGACTGCCTCAGTCAGACACCAGTCTGGGCACGGGGAGGACTGGGGCTGGCAGTGAGCTCACTACACACAGGAGGGTAGAGCCTGGCTTGGACACGATGCATTTAGAGGGCTCAATCAACTGCACTGGTAGTTTTTAATAACAGACTCATTTTTAGAGCAGTTTTAGGTTTACAGAAAAAAATTGCAAGGAAAATACCCAGAAACTCACTGCATGGAGTTGATGCCAACTCATATTGACCCAAGAGTCCGGTGTGGCTATGGGATCAGAGCTGGGCTGCTAATCAGAAAGTCAGTGGTTCAAACCCACCAGCCGCTCCTCATGTTGCCAAACCAAAATGAGAGTTTGCTGCCTGCCCCTGTAGTCAATCACAGAGACGGGGCGAGATCTAGTCCAAGATTTATTAACAGAACGCCAGCAGTCTACAGGCCAGAGAGAATAATTGTTCAGAACCATCCCCTCCTTCACAAAGAGCAGGCACAGTGTGTATGGTACGTTGCATTTGGATGTACACTTCATCTATTTTAACATCAAGATAGCATTCTTTCAGAGAAGAAACATAAGGCAATAAACTTCCTCAAACCTGGAAGGGACCTCAGCTGTTTAGTTCTGGGTGGGTCTCAGCGTTCCCAGTTCTCCGTCTAGGACCATAAGATCTCCGTTAATTTTTAAACTTCCTTGCTTGCGGGGTCCTCATTTATTGAGACCTAATGACTAAACCATGGAGTCCTGGTGTGGCGCTGTGGGTTAACACCCCAGACTGCAAAGCCATTTGAACTGCAAGGTCGGAGGTTCAAGCTCACCAACTGCTCCTCAGAAACCTTATACAGGGTCGCTATGGGTCTCAAGCAACTCGATGGCACTTAACAACAACCACAACAACAATAATTAAACCAACTTCATTTTGTTTAGGTCAGTAGATCCATGCTATCATTCGGAAACCCAATACAGGGTCACTATGAGTCTGAACCATCTCCACGTCACTTAACAACAACAACAACACATTGAGCCGAGAGCACAAAGTCTCACTGCTTCCCAGGACATCATCTCGGAATCTTTACAGAAGCGAGCTGCCTCATCATTCTCCCACAGAACAACTAGCCCATCAGTTAGCATCCCAGTGCTTAACCCACTGCACCAACAGGGCCCCTGACAGAAAGTGTGGTGTTCTCATCCACACATCTGCTGCCACACCTGGGGTCCATTTGTGATGGACCAGCGCTGATAGGTTCTTGCTCATGAAAGGCTGTAGCTAACATCAGAGTTGACTCTGTGTGCAGCCCTGTGGGTTGTGACAAATGCACACAGTTACTTCCCTGCCGTTACAGTAACACACAGAAAAGCATCACAGCCCTGGAAATGCCCTAGGCTCCCCTGCTCAGGCCCTCCATCCTGGTGCCTATAGATCTGCTCAGCCTCCCAGAGCGTTGCCTTTCCCTGAACGCCTTGTTTTTGGAACCGTACAAAATGCAGCTTTTTCAGACTAACTTCTTTCACTTAGGACCCCTGGTGGTGCCATGGGCTAAGCACTGGACTGCTGATTGTAAGGTCAGCGGTTCAACCCAACTGTTGCTGTGGAGTGAGGGAGTGTGGGATTAGAAAGATAAGGCTGGCTGCTGAACACCCAGCCTGGTCTCAGAAACCCTAAGAGCTGCTCTATTGTGTCCTATAGGGTCCTTGTGGGCTGGAATCACTCCCTGGCAGGAAGTAGCCATTTAAAGCACTTGGCACATTGTGATGGCCTGAAAGCACATTTCTTTTTCTTGCTGAATAAACTGACTTTTTTAAACCGAAAAGTGACCAGAAAGGCAAGGGAGTGGTACATGTGGTCACCCCGAGGCAAGGCGGCACTGGGACAGTACACCATTGAGGGCAGTGATGGAGGCAGTCCCAGGAAGCTCCCCGCCTTGCACACAGCAGAGGCGCCATTATCCCTGGGCCATCTGAACTACGGCACAGAAGGCCCAGGGAACTCCCCCACGGCAGAGTGTCGCCCACCGGGGAACACAGGGCGGGGCAGGGCAGAATTGGCAGTGAGGGTTCCACAGCGCATGTCACAATGGGTGGGAGAGTCCCGGGACTCTCTGAGGCAGCTGCGCAGAGCTCAGGTGTGCAGAGAGCGGACGAGGATCCCAAAGTTCACCATGAAGGTGTACAAGGAAGGGGACATGGAAGAGCAAATCCAGGAGCTGAAGACCATCACGCGACTCCAGGGTAGGCCAGCCCAGGCCAGGCTAGCAGTCACCTGGCGCCCACCCCAAGACTGGGCTGGGGAGGCATCAGAGGCCTGACCTGCAGGGGGCGTTAGAAATGCTGGTGTACAGGATTATCGGCTCAAAGGTGGAGGCGACAGGGGCATTCCCTGCTTCACTGCCATGCCTCTGCCTGACCCTTCCAGGACAAACTTGTTGGGCATGAAGCCAGGCTCCCCCGGGGGTCCCTGGCCAGGGCCTTGGCCCACACCCCGCCCCCTCCCCGCCCCCAGAGCAGTGCCGGTCACTGCAGATCCAGGCGGTGAAGGAGAAAACAGTCCAGAACAAGGCAACGCTGGCCTTCCTACGTGGCAGCATCCGGCACGGGGCCCAGGACTGGGCTCAGGCCCAGAAGGTGCTAACGAGCCCTGGAACCCGGCTGGCTGGGTGATGCGGGCTCATGTGGAAGCTGTCTCCCCACACACAGAGGCACAGAGGCGGTACTGCCCTCCGGGACCCAGTCCTGGGCCACCCCCTTGTGGTCCGGGAGGGGAAGCCTGGGGTCCGGCAGTCATCTTGCTCCCTGTGGCCCCAGGAGCAAGGGTCTTGCTTCTAGGCTGGCAAGAGGGCAGACCAGACCTGAGGCGGCGGAGGGGGGAACAAAGGGTCCTCGCCGGCTGAGCCGCCACCTATCCGTAGAACGACCAGTGGACAATCTCCAAGGCCTGCGGGACGGACGTAGCCATGAGGCTGGCACACTGCCGCAGCACCATAGAGGTTAGGGGACTGGAGGGGCGCTTGAGGGTGTCAGGGATCCCTCCTGCCTCGCAGCTTCTGCAGCAGGGATCCCTCAGCTAGCGCCGCGCACCTACGCACAACCGTGCCGGTCACCACCCAGGTGGCACGGGAGAAGCTACGCAAGTACGTCTTCGACCGCGTGAACGTGCACAATGTGTTGATACACCTGGTGCGGCAGCGCGGTCAGAAGCTAGAGAGCATGCAACTGGAGCTCGCCAGCCTGGAGAACCAGCCGGAGACCACCAAGGAGGAGCAGCGGCAGCTGCAGGTACGGTGGGTGGGCGCGGTGGAGCTCCGTGGGCGGGGAAGAGGCGGGACTCCACGAATCAGGGCGGGGCTATAATGGAGGCGAGGCGCGTCTACGGGGGCGGGGCGAGTTAGTAGGAGGCAGGCACGCAGAGGCGCAGACCCGGCTCTGGAACAGAGTCGAAGTCTTGGGAGAGATGGGGTTACCCCTGATTGAGCTGGAAAATGCAGCGATTGGGCGGATGGGCAGGGGGGATGTGAAGGGAGGGAGGAGAGAGGCTTCACGGGCAGAGGTGGAGTTCGGGTGAAGGGAGGGAGATCGCAGATGAGGGGCGGGAAGCTCCAAATGAGAGATGAGTCTTGTGAGGTGGCACAGGAATGACTCCGGTGGAGTGGTGGGAGGGGGATGGCGGGGTGGGAGGGGGGCTCTTTGAGGATAGGTGAGCACTGGCCCTGTGGTCCAGTTCCCTGGCCCCCAGACCGCTCCCTTATGCCCCCTGCCCAGATCATCCGCCAGCTGGAAAACAACATCGAAAAGACCCTGATCAAGATCACCACGAGCCAGAACATTCACCTGGTATATGTGGACCTGCTGGATTATCTGAAGAAAGTGAGCCCCTTTCACACACCCACCCCACCCGCAGCCCTCCTCTGCACACCAGCTCCCCCTACCATGAAAGGCAGGGGGTCTTAGAGGTACCATGAGAGGCGGGGGTCTTAGACCCCAGACCTCCAGCCCTTGTATGAGGGACACTGCCCAGTGGGAGCCCCAACTGCTGTCCTCAAGGCTCAAGGTAGGCCAGTCCCCTGAGTATGGGGTGGGCTATGAAGCTGGAGGGTCAGCTCTGTGCCCACTTGCCCCACCTCATTAACTCAGGAGCTGGCAGAATACCCCACACAGCTGGACAAACTACAGAGCCTAGTGGTCAGCTACTGCTCGGAGCTTTCGGACATGTCTGTCATGTCCCGAGACGCCATGATGATCACCGATGAAGTTAAGGTCAGCTATAGCTGCTGGCCTGGGGGGCGCGGGGCTCCTCTGAATCTGCCCAGCAGCCTCTGCCCAGACACCACCTTGTGATGTGAACAGAGGGTCCCATGAGTCCTGAGGCGGGGGTACGGAAGAGAGAATGGGCCTGGCTGGGGATGGCCACCTGCTTCATGCCAAGGCCCCTGCTGGGTTCTTTGGAGATGGTAGTGATCAAGGTAGGCACGGTCCCTGTCTTGGTGTCCTAAAGCTGTTGTGACCAATAAAAAGATCACAAATGGACACAAATACATTTTCTTCAAGTTCTAGACCCAAATCAGGGACCTGGCTATGTCCGCTACTCCCATGGGCACCTTTCCGGGTTTCTGGTGTCTGCAGCAATCCCTGGTGTGCCCGGGGGCTGCTCAGCGCCTGCTCCATATGTCTGGTCTATTCTGCTTTTTCTAAGATCCCACTCAGAAGTGATTCGATTTAGGATGGCGGCGTGGGATGAGTGGTCTGCTAACCGCAGGGTCGGCGGTTCAGACCCACCAGCTGCTCCCAGAGAAAGATGAGGCTGTCTGCTTTCATGAAGATTTTCAGTCCTGGAAACCCTAGTTCTGCTCTGCCCTCTAGAGCTGCTAAGAGTTGCAGTCCACTGTGTGGCAGTGGCTTGGGCTCCTTTACCCCAAGCTGGCATCAATGGCATAACAAGGGGATCCTCACAGTTAGAGGAACTGGGGTTTGGACTCTTACACAGTATTTTAAGGAGAAGGGAGTCCCTGGCAACCTCCTGTGCTGTTCCAAAGTCTAGGAAAAGGTTGCTTAATAGCTGACTGCTTACTCCATGCTGGTCACCTCTGTCCCCAGATGAACATGAGTCAGGCAGAGGCTTCCTTCATTGAGGAGCGGAGGGCGCGGGAGAACCGGCTTACTCAGCAAAAGAAGCTGATTGACAAGATCCACACCAAGGAGACCAGCGAGAAGTACCGGAGGGTGAGGCCTGGCCCCACCCCCTGCAGCCAGGGCATCCCTGAGCCGGCTTCCCTGCAGGGCCTGTTGCTAACCCTCCTGTCCCTCCCTGCAGGGACGGCGGGACCTGGACTTCCCTTCTAGCCTGATGAGTACAGAAAGCCTAAAGGGTGAGCCCTGGGCCCCACCTGCCCCACCGGCATCAACTACCCAGCCGCATTCCAGAAAAGCCAAGTGTAAACCGTGGCCACCAGGGCAAGGGACACAGAGAAGCCCCTGCCCCACCCTTGTTGTTGTTGTTAAGAACCGTCCTGTGTAGGGTTTCCAAGGACTGGCTGGTGACCTTGAACCACAGATCTTGCACATGAACCCACAGTGCCACGCCAGGACTCACCCTAGCTGCACACAAACAGGCCCACACTCACTGGGATGCTACTGCTCCCAGGTTCTAGCTGGCATGTGACTGAGCCTCAGGCACTTAGAGTCGCTGTCCCCTAGCTTCCCAGGTCCAGGCCAACCAGTGAGTCCTCAGAAAGGATGAGGCCCCTGTATCCTGGACCTATATCCAAGAAGAACCAAGCTGACTGGCATATCCCTGGAGGGCCAGACCAGGGTTCTCAAGAAAGTCAGAACTAACTAGTGAGATGTTTAGATGGAGAGACCAGTACACGGATAGACAGACCTGATGAGTTTTCATTAACTGACTTACATGATTGTAGGGGTGATAGCAAGTCTAAAATCCATAAGATCTGGGAGCAGGCAGACTAGAGACTCAAATCGTTAGGTCAGGGGACAGGAAAATGAAATCAAATTTCAGTTTACAGTTCTGAAGGCTGGACACACACCCTAGGGATCATTCCTTTACACTCTTAAGGTTTTAGTTAACTACACGAGGCCTACATACATCATAGGAATCCTGGTAGTGCAGTGGACTGTGTTGGCTACTAACATCGTGTAAGGTCAGTAGTTCGAGTCTACCACTAGTCCATGGGAGAAAGATGAAGCTTTCTATTCCTGAAAAGATTTTGGTGTTAGGTGCCATGGAATGCGCACCAATACATAGTGATCCTATGCATGTCTTTGCTCTTCAACACTTTAAAGAGGTCTTGTGCAGCAGATTTGCCTAATGCAATATGTCATTTGATTTCTTAACTGCTGCTTCCATGAGTGTTGATGGTTAATTCAAGCAAAATGAAGAAGTCTTAGGCAACTTTGACAATCTTTTTTCCATTTATATGGATGTTGTTTATTGGTCCAGTTGTGAGGAAGTTTGTTTTCTTTACATTGAGATGCAATCAGTAAGTATTTTAAGTCATCTTTACTTTCAGCAAGCAAGCAAGGTTTATCCACTGCATATCGCAGGTTGTTAATGAGTCTTCCGCCATCCTGATGCTATGTTTTTCATCATATAATCCAGCTTCTCAGGTCATATTCTCAGTATACAGGTTGAATAAGTATGGTGAAAGAATACAACCCTGGTGCCCACCTTTCCTAATTTCAAACCATTCAGTGTTCCCTTGTTCTGTTCTAACAAGTGCCTCTTAGTCCATGTAAAGGTTCCTCGTGAGCACAATCAAGTGTTCTGGAATACTCACGCTTTGCAATGTTGTCCCTAGTTTGTCTTGTTTCACACAATCGAAAGTCTTTGCATAGTCAATACAGCTCAGGTAAACATCTTTCTGGTATTCTCTGCGTTCAGCTAAGATCCATCAGACTTCAGCAATGATATCCCTCGTTCCACATCCTCTTCTGAATCCAGCTTGAACCTCTGGAAGTTTTCTGTCACTGTATGTTTGCAGCCGTTTTTGTCAGTTGGTAAGGTAGTTATCTTCCATATTTCTTGGCACAGATGAGTGAGTGCATCAGTTTATTGAAAGATTTCACTTTGTATCTGATAAATTCCCAGTGCCTTGTTCTTTGACAATGGCCTCAATGCATCTTGGACTTCTTCCTTCAGGATCATTGGCTCTTGATCGTATGTTACCTCTTGAAATAGTCTTACATCCATTTTGGTACAGTGACACGATTCCTTCCTTTTTTTTTTTTTTTTTTTT